CTTTGATAGAATTGGGAACTTACTAGCGATGAGCAACCTTAGCGAAGCCACATGTTTAGCTTTCCACTGCTGTACGATAAACATAACCATGAAAATATAGAACAGAAATAAAAGCGTCACACAAGGATCAGCTGACACCCGACAATCGATTTGGAGTTCAGTTATTGAGGCTTGAAGAGGCTTGTGTCTAGATGCCGCGATTCCCAACGCCAAGATGTCATTTTTAAAATAGATGTTCTCGACTGTCAGTTGCCCATTCAGATAATACAAGCCCAAGGTGGAGTACGGAGTAGCCAGATCATCTCTTCGACTGTTAGGGATTTGAGTTTGTATGTAATGTTACACCTTTTTTTTTCTGGCGCATGAAGACAGGGATGATTTGTTGGGATTTTTAGACTGTATGTTCAGCTTCTTCATTTGCTGATGCTTCAAACTCTATAATATAGGGCTGAGACAATCCTTTGCCAAGACTTCAGACTTGTTTGCTGTTTAGGTTTTGTTTGAGTTTTTCTTTGGGGAACAACAGGGAACAAGTAGACACCATCATTGTTGAAACATTCAAGCATTGGCTTTTTTGCAGCATAGGCAAACCAGCATGGACCTTAATGCCAGAATACCAGTATCCGAAGCTTCTTTCTAGCTTCATTAGGTATGTCAGTTACGGCCTAATGTAACAAATATTTGTTGGGTACTTGGAAAATAGTCCCTGTCAGCAGGCAGGATATTTTCCTATCCCGTTATGATCAAACTGGCGACATGCAGTCCCCACGTGCAAATGCCAGGGTTCGGCGATGCCGCTCTCCAATATGTACGTATCCTTTTCCCAGGTTGGCAATTATCGGTGATTTGTTATTGATTGATTATCAATCACTGTGGGATGTCAGCGAACAAGAAGCGAAAATGCAATCGTACTTTGTCCGTATGTACTTTTGTCTTTGTACTTGGAATAATTGGTCAACCTGCTCGCTTCAACGGCTGCTACCTAACCCTCTTGGCAATAAAGCTGAGCGTTATCTGTAGGGTATATCTTGGGTAGCAGAGCCTCAAAATCCTTAGTATGTCGAATATTCGTTGAGTGCTGTCGTTGGTTTCTCGGAGATTACCGCATTCCTTCGTGGATTTTCGGCCGGAGACGCAAGGACCACAAACCAGTGAGGACGAGTAACGAGATTAACCGCCCGACAGTCAATGATGCCAGAAAGCGCCACAGTAGAGTTCACCAGGGAGGTGTCTACTTCAGAGAGTTTCATGTCCCCATTTTTCTTCTTTCTCACATTGACTTTCGGTCAGGGAAAAGGGTATTTCACGGCAACAACCGGCAGGCGAACAATGTAATCGCTTTAGAATACAAGTAGAAGCATCGGTCAATTCTAGGGGATTACTCAACCAGAATCACGGAGTCATGATTATGCTGGCATGCCATGCAGTACTGTGGATATCCCGTCTCATCCATAGTGCATGATACCATCATCGTGCATCAGAGTCAGCACTTGGGACCGACGGAAAAGGGAAAAACAAAACAGAGTTTTGGATCAAGTAGGTTGCGGTGTAAAAACAGGTTGCTGCGCCTCGATTCGCTTATAAAACCAGGGATCTGCCAATGGAAATCCGGGTAGATCTGTTTCCTGAAGTATTATTGGCCCATCTAGTGTGGCTCGGGCAAGGTGTGGCGCTAAGGCTATTTTGGAGCGCTTTCCTCACCGATCTGAAATGTTTTGTCATGTCATGTTCCGGAGAAGAGCGTCCTTGTATCATCCACATTCCTTCTTCTGGGATCTGGAATTGACTTAACCAATGCCCCGTTTGAGGTTTCCTGCATCTCTATACCTTCTAGGGCAACCGCAGTAAACAACACAAGTTGAAGTACTGCATACTGCATCATCATCATGACCAAATTTTCATCAGCCATACACACTACCAACTAGATACGGTACCCACCCCATGCCTGTAAATACCATATTCAGTCGGTCAGAGATCAGATAAATTTGTCCAAGGTACTCAGTGCTCGTACTACACAATCAGGTGCAAGCCCTTGACTGAACTGGCTCTTGGAAATACCTACCCGACTCGAAGCACGCATGGCGTACAGGTACAGCAATAGCATAGTCGTTCATAAGTGTCAGTGACTCTCAACTTTAGCGTACGGAAATTCCGAATGCGAAGTAATACTGAAACAGGTCGCGCTAAGACTCAGCCTTGTAGGTACCTTAGGCACACTAAAGCAGACCCCACTCGAGAGTTTACCCACGTCAACACCGGGCATACAATCTTCGAAATTGTTTTCAAATGACTAGTACTGAAACTAAGAAGCTCATTAACGTCGACGCAAAACCTTCGAGGCAACACTCGCAGAGGAGTGACATTATAACTTCAAGCAGAAAGATTCGTCCACGTCAAAACGAAGCACAGGACAGGTTCTTCCCGTCTGTGCCAGTTCAGGCTTCTGATTGGATTGTCTTCCTCGAGCATCATTTGCCTGTCACAAATCTGAGCCAATCGACTAGGCGAAACTCATATGCACGTTCCTCGAAATGGCTGGGGTCGTGGGGCTGGACTATCTAAGATCGTCAACAAAGCCCCAGAACCAAAAAAAAAAAAGCTAACCGGACCAAGGGGAAAGGTGTTCGGAAGCCTGCGGCCATGGTTCAAGATCTAGAGTTTGCTGCCTCCCGTGTCTCCTCAGAAGTGAAGATGATCTGTACCGGATTGACGGGACAGTGGGTGAGGCCTTGCCAGACTGTCAACTTGCCAAGCAGATATGCCAATCAATGGTGATATTTTTGAAAGTCTTCATCAATCATGCCGGTTGCCATCAATTATCGATATTATTTTTATTCCATAAGTTCATATATCCGAAGATTGGATTTAAGTATCTATGGGTAAGGTACTGAGTGGAACAGCAGAACTACTTCATTTCAGATCACTCATCCTTGCTAGGATTTACCCCATAGTCCGTCTCTGTCTCCGTCTCCGTGGTCTTCGTGATACCCCTCGTTTTGCAACTCCATGGGGGAGAATTTTGCCACCATCTTATCTCCAAACCACGATCATACTGAAAGATAAGAAGGAATGATAACAATAAAATTTAGCGGAAGCATTGTAAACAAAGTTTCCTGGAGAGTCAGAGGAGAAATTGCTTGATTACTGGACTCCGTAGTCTGTATTCGTACGAGTTACGATGTACAGTCCTCCGTCCGGTCTGACGGTGCCAAGTCAATTGTACACGGACTTGCCGATGACATCTGTATCCACAAATGTCAAGCATGCATCCCTAGTGTGAATGGACACGGGGTTCCCGATACACAAGAATGATGGACATTGACCAGGGAAATTGTATCATTATTCCTTTAAAGTAAGTAGCTTCAAAATAATTATTAATAATAATATTCCGTTCATCAAACATACAGAGTACATTTACATGCTCTGTTCAATTTATGCAAGTCTAAAATAACCCACAGAAGCAAGCACCTACCACGATGACTTAAGCTGTAATAAGGAACCATATCAACAGGCCTGAGTATCTCAGTCACAGCGGATAAAGTCATCACCTACAGGCCTATGAAGCTGGAAATAAAACAATGCAGGAACCATTGAATAGGTATATAATACAACACATGGAAACATCAGCAACCTAAAACACTGCAGTAGCTATGACAGATCACTAATAGGAAAGAACTTATGGCAGTGCAAATGGGGCACACAGATTTAGTGGTATTTCTGTAACTCAAATACCGCTAAAAATATTTATGGCTTAAAAATAAACTATGTAAATCTAAAATCAAAAATGGTACCAAGTCCCTGCTTAACCATGATCTCCACTTCCCCTGTTCCCCTCGCTTTCGCTGTCCTAACAATATCTGCCAAAATGAACAAATACATTTATCTTTCTCTAATTAATTTAATCATTTTTGCCGACACTTGGTTTTATAAATACATTTAATACGCTACGGGCGGTATCATCGTCATCTACCACCCAGAACCCACATCCGCCCACCCCAGTCAGTCTCAATGCACACTAGACAATCCCCTGTCTCTTGCTGCGCATTTCACCTCCAGTAGTCTGGATGGGCTTGATTTAGTGCTGTTAGTTTCCTTAGTCTTAGTTCATCCAGTTCGTAGTAGTTTGGTTCACTTAATCTATCTAGTCAGAATCCACTCTAGTAATTTAGTTCAGTCCACTGCAAGCCCAGAATATGGTACACTTTCTTTTGTAGGGCCAGCAATTATATAACATTTAACAATTGCTCCCCCTCCCTCCCCTCCGTCATTTCTTCATCCTACATAAGACTCATCCTACCTCGAGGAATATTAGATCCTGAAAAGGAGTGACAAGAGAAGCGCTCATAGAAGACAGCACCTTGTTGTCCTCCTTCCCCTGATTTCACCTGCTCCTGCAACATACTTCACACTCCTCCCGGACTTGGCCGTGCAGGTCTACTGACTTGCATCCAATTGCTTTATGTGTGACTGTTATTCTTCTCTTATATATACTATTTTTATCCAAAATTGAGGAACGAAGTAATTCAGAATCGAATTCTGCCTCGATTGTCCTGCATGTCGCGCAGCTTGCTGTTCTCTGAATAGTTCCCAGTCCCTCTGCGATTCGCTCAAATACCTCGAAATACTTCTCGCTTGAATCGAAAGATCGTCCTGTGAACTTCCCCTTACATCGCGCAGGTGACTATCGGCTCGTTGACCGAGGCTCACGTTCTCTTTTGAGCGACCTTTCTTCAGGTATGCTCACATTTCCCATCAGCGTCGATCTTCTCTAGCGATTTACCAAGCTTGCTGCAACAACACAATGAAAGAATATCGTGACTGATAACCAGCCTCTCTCAGATTCTGCGCCTCGATCTCCTTACCGAAACGCAGGCCTTGTCTTTCACCGAATGGTGGGGACTAGCACAGTCGACTATCGATCTTAGAACGTCTCTATGCAGAGCCCGAGAGCACATTCCGACTTTGTTCTATACCCTACATTAGCGCACAAGAAAGCCATCATGTTGGCATTGGACTCGTCACGTCAACAACGAACATCATACTTTCACAACGTCCCTATGGACCCAGCATTGGTCGATCCGTTCGGATTCCAAATGGATAACTTCGGCGGGTTTGGGCAGACTTCTGGTTCAACCAGCGCCCCAACATCTTACTACGAAACGTCACCTGTTTATGCTGATTCGCAGCTTGAGCCCAAAACTTTCGGTTTCCCTCCCATGCCTCCTACACCCCCATCCCTTCCAGTACCCTATTCTACAGAGCCTTATATGTCGGGCCTCTCCAGTGCATCTGGACCCTCCATCGCAAGCGCATCATCGTCGGCGATCGGTTCGCCATACTCCGGTACAGCACATACCTTCCCGGAGAGCTGGGTCGATACTAACCACGGTATCGGGCTTCCTGCAGCCGTCATGGATGAGTTCTTTCCCAATGAGTTTATGGGAAGCTCGTTAGAAGCGGATCATATGTATCAGAGGAAAGGCCCAGACGACTTTGTTGGTGAGTTCCATGAGTTTGCATTTCGTTTTGTTATTAAAGCAGACTCCTATGCTGCCTTTCGACAGTCAAATTGCCGACCCTTTCAGAATGCTGATTGGTGGCCAACAGATCCTTCCTTGATACAGCCAGTACACCAATATCCAAACTATTCAACTCCTACTATCTCGTTTCCCGAACACTTGAGCTACTCTGCCAACTGTGGATATTACCCTCAGTCTCCCGACCCGTCTCACCTCACCGTTGCCGAGAACTACTCCGCAGATCACCTTTCACAGACACGACTGGCAGTCTCTTCTCCTATTTTGAACTCTCCCCCCCACTCACGTCCCGTTTCGATCTATGACCGGAGGTCGTCCGTTTCATCCACCAATTCCCGACCATCTCAGCTGAGTCCAGCTGCGAGCGTCGCGGATTTTGATGAAGAGAGCAAGGACAAAGGACGCTGTCCACATCCCGACTGCGGAAGAGTGTTCAAGGATCTGAAGGCTCATATGCTCACGCATCAATCAGAACGACCGGAGAAGTGCCCCATCGTTACCTGCGAATACCACGTCAAGGGATTCGCTCGTAAATACGACAAGAACCGACATACGCTCACCCATTACAAGGGAACAATGGTGTGCGGGTTCTGTCCAGGTTCTGGGTCACCTGCGGAGAAAAGCTTCAACAGAGCGGATGTCTTCAAGCGTCACTTGACCTCGGTGCATGGCGTTGAGCAAACACCACCCAACTGTCGCAAGAGGAGCCCCGGTGCAGCTTCTGGCAAGAAGGTTTCGGATTATTGCCAGGATGCCACTGGCAAATGCTCAACTTGCTCTGCCACCTTCAGCAACGCACAGGACTTTTACGAGCACCTTGACGATTGTGTTCTCCGGGTTGTGCAACAAGTAGAGCCTAGCGAGGTTATTAACCAGCAACGGCTGGCGGAAGTGGACTGTGATGAGGAGGTCAAGAAGACCATGGAGAAGCACAAGCTCCTCGATACCGCCGGCAACGTCGACGGTGAGCCTGAGGAAGAAGACGACGATTATAACGAACTCAATCTTCAGCTGCGATCGAGTAAAGGTGCATTCAAGTCAAACAAAGAGAATGCGAGTGTAGGATCTCGTCCCATCTTGGGCAGCCACAACGCTGTTACCAAAAGTGGCAAGGCCCGTGCAACCATTTCGAAAAGGCGAAACAACCGCGATCGCTACCCTCCTTCCTGGGGCTGCCCCAGCAGCAGCATGAAGACGAAGAAGCGCGTCTTGTGCGTCTTCGACGGCCAGCGCCGTCTGTGGAAAGATGAAATGATGCTTGACAATGAGTTCGAAGTACGGCTGAAGCTTCCCGGAGGAGCTGGTGACGGTACAAACCGGGAGGCATATATAACTGACCTGGATGTCGAAACTCTGAAACGTGCTGAAGGCGTGTTGAGCGCCAACGAGGATGAAAGGGGCCCCTGGTTAGAGGGGCCGGCAACCCATCTCATGGGACAGCCGGCGACGATGTTGCCTACACTTTCTCATCCACTCGAAGATGTCGATATCGATGACTTGATGTCCTGAATGCGGGCACCTTCTCTCGATTGTGCCTCGTTTTCCCTCTTCAATCCTATCTTTTTGTTGGATACCTCTCTGTTTTGCATATGCTGCATCATGAATAGCGAAATCTGTGTGCTATACACCGGATATGATACCACTTACTATTTTATCTGCTTTGATGCATGACTTCCATGTCTCATTTGTCTGCCTGTGTGTTTCTTTTTGGCTAGTCATGGTGTCATGGGAAACGGAAAGGATTCTGATACCAGATAAAAAGCTCTACGTTCTACTTTGCATAAATAATATCTACTCTGCTAGACAGAGATGAATCCGACTTGTTCTTTCTGCATTATTCTTCGTATGGAAAATGGTAAGATAAACCAATGACTACCGAGCCTTCGGCTCAGTGCGGCTGCAGGTAGAAGGTATCCAGAGTATCAAATGGGATAGTCTTTGGGCATATCTGAGCGCACAGCTGGAGCCTCATAAGCCTTCTACATAAATTGTCCTGTTAAAATGCTGTTCTGGTTGTCAAATGTGAATGGGTGATGAAGTGGATTTACCTTGATGTCATTGTGGTGGTTCATGTTGGGATTCCCCGCAGGCGAGGCTTTGCTCCGCAATCTCCGAAGCCGCAGAGCCAACAACCTGTCCCTCTTTCTTCCTTTCTTTCGGTCCCTTCAGGAACTGAGTCAATCGCAAAGAGATCAACGCAGAGGGCCACCAAGATGCAATTGGGCTTAAGAGAGAGCCTCCCTGCTCTGGTAGCCAAGCGTTTCACTGCAGCCAAGGAAAGTGGCCACCTGATATTTTCGCATACTCATCTCTCCATCATCAACTCTGGAGGAATCTCGGTAGGTCGTGCTCTTTCAAGTCCCCTCTAAGGTGATATTGCTGTCTTTGAATTTACTGGGCTAACCCAGACGTTTCCAAGTATCAACTTCGTTACTGCCCAGCTCTCGCAAACAAACCTTCAGGCGCTCCGAAATCCGACAAGGATCGATCAGGTCCTAAGCCCGATCCTTTCGAGAATCCCTCTTCAGACCTTTTGATCGCTCAGATTCCTCAAGAAAATCCAACATATGCGCTTGTCTTGAACAAATTCCCTGTCATACCTAACCACTTCATCCTCGCGACCAAGGCATGGAAGTCCCAAACGGATATTCTCGAGAAGGAGGACCTGGACGCTGCTTATGCCTGCATCAAAGCTTGGAGGGATAACCGGACTGAACAGGGAGACTCGGGGTCAGAGAGGCTATTTGCATTCTTCAATTCCGGAGACGAGAGTGGCGCGAGTCAGCCACATAGGCATTTGCAGTTCTTGCCAGTGGAGGCCATGTCTCAGGGTGACTCGGGAAGTTGGCGGCCTCTCATTGACACGGTTTCATCCCAGTCGGTAGGCCCCGACTCGGAGTACCGACGCTTGAGCCAAATCCCCTTCGCCCATTTTGCACTACCGCTGCCACCGAACCCAACGGCAGATACCCTGCATGCGATCTATTTATCTTTGTACAGAGTAGCGCTCTCGACTGCGAAGGGAAGCCTGGGGGACCACGCACGAGTGACTGATGGCCCTGCGGCAATCAGCTACAACTTAGCCATGACTGAGTCGACGATGATGATATGCCCTAGAAGACATGAAACTGCTCGTATACCTGTCGACCCAAGCGCTTTGCCAAATGTCCAGGAACCTGGCGTCGTAGCCCTGAACGGCACGATCCTAGCCGGAACGCTTATGGTCAAAGCTGAGGCCGAGTGGAATGAGCTTCGGCGCAATCCGGATACGTTGGCGGACATACTCGCGTCTGTCGGCTATCCCCAGCCAGACTCTCGTGGACTCGCTCTGTTATGACGATCATTTGCGTGGTCTGGCCAAGAATCCAACTAGAGAGGATGTATATAGCATTGTCGCATCAAGGCGCTCATGTCTTTTGCATTGTATGGGAGTTGATGATACAGTACATATGACACAGCATTCAGAAATCTCTCCCCCCCTTTTTTTTTCTTTTGGAAGCCCAAGATAAGCGACTAAATACGCCAAACAGTGACCTGCCAAGAACAAAGGAGAAGCCCAAGAATAACCAAGACGAGACAATGGGACAATAACGCTGAGATAGCCTAAGATCTTTTGTCAAGAGCGCAACCTAGATCATATCCTTACATTGTGCACTTCGCACCACTTCTTCTTGCAGGTCGCATTCCCGAAATGGTACGAGCCTCCATGAGTCCATATATACTGAGCGACCTTCTTCCAAGACACTCTGGGTGGCAGGCCTACACTTCTCGGTCGACAAGACGGCGCAAATGCATTCGAGGCTTGCTTTCCGGACCCTGAACAGGCGTTGACAGCTTCACACAGCAGTTTGATCTGTGTTGGGAATTAGCTGAGGACGAAAGAGACCCTTGGAATCCTGTCACTCACATCTTTGTCCTTCCACTGGGGTTTCCTCACCCTCTGCTCCTTGGACTTTGTGAGGGTCCGGAATCTGCCACGGAGAGTGGACTCTGCTTCCTCGAATCCCCCGAGCCTCTTGATATCCTTGTATGACAATCCGCGGCGTTTGCACTCTATCAAGAATGCATTTCGGGCCTCGTTGTGGCATGAGATTGACCTGCTGCTTGCTCGTCCTCGACGACCCAGGGCTCCGTTGCTGGCGATTGTCGAATGCGCAGATTCGACGATTTCGTACCGGTGCTGAGGGTACGTGAGCTCGTCGTTGGTAAATGTCAACTGGCAATGTCCCTCGTCGACTACACTTCGGTCCTTGATGCTTGTTGAGTTGTATTCGCGAGGGGTGAAGGGGTGCAGGACAAATGGTGGTTGCTGAGGGTAGTGCTGGCTGCAGTCTACAGAAGGTAGACCGTGACAGGCGTCCAGTGCGGCGTTGCGAGGAATCGCTTCAACCCGACCACCGTGATGATGTAGTTGAGAAAAGTAGCTGTTTCGGTACTCAAATTCTGGACTCTGCATCTCCCATGGCATCATCTGTCCGCTACTGGACCAGTGGAGAGGCGTGGTGGCACTGCATGTGCCGGCGATAGGAGTATAAGGATCGTCGGTTGTGGCCACAGAGCTCCCCGGCGAGACATGGTTCTGGAATATCATAGCGCCCCCAGTGTGACTATACGGACAGTGCGCCTTGCGGAAACCGTGTCCAAACGAGTCCGCTAGACTCTCTTGCGAGGCAGAAGGTGATATTGTATCTGATGTGGTGTTGGTCTCTGAGAACGAACCGAAGGGGTCCGCAGCCATGTACAGACTTGGCCTAGGAATGGGGTGCACCTGGCCGCAAGGATAGTTGCCGGGCTTGGTCCTTTCCTCACAGAAAGCACTTTCTTGTACAGGAGCATTGACCTTGAGCTCGTCATGTTGTTCGTGATTTTCAGAACCAGTGATGCATTCCTCAGGCTGTCTAGGTCGATGCGAAGTTTGGATATTGGTGAGGCAAGTATAGTAGTCAGGAGAGAGTCCATGCCCAGGCTCAAAAGACGTCAGGACATCTGACCAGGCGCAAACGTCTGGTTTTATCGTTTGTTCGTCGGCCATTGGCAACCTGTTTGAGGAGTCAATAATAGCCTCGGACTGTCCTTCAGCGACTCCGGTGCACTGGTTTGTCCAGGACTGAACGCGGCTGATGATCTTTCTAGAGCACAGCTCAGACTGCTGATCGCAGGGCTTTGCCTGGGGGAGATGTCCACGGTTCTCAAAGAGGTAACTGGCGGGATCGGGATCAGTAGACTCGGGGTTCTTCTCGAACATCAAACATGTTTTGGAGTGATCCGGACCGACGAGCACGCGGAGCATCGCTTTAAGAGAAGCTATATTACCCTTCCTGTCCGCCAGTTCACCGCTCCTGTCCTCTATGGCCGGTGTAGATGGCGGGTGAAGCGCGTGCATGGGAAGTTTCAATGACGGACTATGCACGTTGCTGGGCTTGACGGGACACCTGCAGGACACATGCGCACACTGAGCATGTCAAGATCCATATGGAGAGGTTTCACCTGCCATGGGGCATGATTGACATACCGACGAGCTCTGACTGGCCGCCACACGCGCTGTATGTGCGTCCGCTTTTTTTAAAGTGCAATGTCTTAGCTGTTGGCGGCGCCCTGCTCTGAGCACCGGAGAAGGAAGGTGATAAAGAAAGAATGCAGCGGATGCTATTGAAGGGGAAGGATTGTGCCGATGAGACGATGACTCTCACTGCGACGGTTGAGAGGAGCAGAGTCGACTGTTCATGGAAGAGAAGCACAAGTTCGAACAGACGGTATGATGTCTCAGGCTTCCTTGTCTTCCACAGAAGTCGTTACGATTCGAAAATGTCGGGGTCTCCAAGCTCAGAGTGGGACTGTTTCAACACGCTGTGTGTGATGTAACGGCTTATCTGAGTCAAAAGGAAATGGATTGTTCGAGCTCTAAACGAGAGAATTGGAAAGAATAAAGGCCAGGACAACAAAGAGGCAGTTTCAGGCTGGTTGGCAACCAAAGTCAGACACAAAGATAGACACCTCTATGAGCTACTCTTGACATCGAACGACACAAGTGAGACCGGCCTTTAATAAGGTCTCAGACCTTGGATCCCCCAGAAGCATCACCGTCTTCCATCACGGAACCTCGAATCTTCACACGAGTAATGGCCAAGCCGAATGCCAATGCCTATTTGCCTCTCCCTCCAAAACTAGACAATGGGCTGAAGAACTATCGGTTCTCGTCTCAATAGAACATGGATGATACCAGGAGAGATATCACCTCCCATTCACGACCTCTGCAAACCTGCTTCTCCTGCCCTCTACTAGATACTTCCATCCCCCGATGATCAATTGACCAGTCTCAAGGCCTTCCCCGCAGGTCTCCCAATACAGTAGTCCAGACAGTTTGAAGGACCCTTTCCAGACCACCCGAACGAAGTACCGGACATCCAATGCAAATTCCCCAGAGCGATCAAGAGAATACCCCGAGGAAAAACCAGTCAAATGCACGAATCAGGAACGAGCAGGAGACAGACGCACCGACGGATCCAACCTGACTGGCGTACAAGCGTCGACATGCTGGCCCGGATAGCCACATGCAGGACTTTTTTTGCGCACCTCCGCGGTGATCTTCGTCTCTGAGCGGCTATAGGGCGGCTGCAGTTGAGCCTTTTTTCTACTACTTCTCTTTTCTCTTTCTACTTTCTGTTCTTTTGCCTAGACGGATTGCAGAAAATATATTGAGGAGAAATAAGTGTCGGAGGATTTTCAAGCTTTTGGAGATCCTACCTGACTATTGAACGGGACGTTTGATCGGAGTTGATCGGAGCATGCGCACTGGTATTAAATATAAAATGTACTTTTCCCTCTCTGAGTCCCTGGAACGTCCCTATCGCGTCATCAGAGCCGATAATGAGTAGAATATTCATGGATACATGAAAGTGTGGATGAATTCTGGTTGTTGAACGACGACCGCGACTGTATATGCAGATGTAGGACCCTTCACCATCACAGTCACAGCCATATATTGACCAATGAATACAATGTCCTCCGGTTCTTTACTTTAGGTTAGATAAAGCTAAGGGACGCAATTTTAGGGTTCATCCCGCACCCTCAATTCTAATTCGACACGCCAATCCATTAAGGATTGACAAACGATCTAAGCTTCATGCCTCAGTCTAAGCTAAGCCACTTTTCTATAATTATCCTCGCCGCAAACAACCCGCCTAGAGTGAAATGGGCGATTGCCTAGTCTAGGTCTTGCTAAGGTCCCAACCCGACCATACTCAAATCGATACATCCATCCTGGCAACCATGTTTGAACTTTAAACTATTCTCTGCCATTTCCACTACTAGGATATAATAGGTGATCATCGCATCAATGCAGCATCCCTGAACCCACACAGTATACCGCTCTTAATGATGATCTTATGAACTCGCTCCACCTGTCCCACGGATGTGGTAACGTGGCGATCACCTTATATGAGAGCCGAGCCTGAGGCACCCGCTGAGGCTGCGGTATGGTCTATAAGGCCACACAAGGGAATATTGAACCATCGGATTCTTTGAACTCGAGGACTGGAGTTCTCATCAACGAAGGTCTGGAAAGCATCCTTCGCCGCTACGGATAAACAAGTACAATGCCGGATTTTGACTTTGGTACAACCCGTCTTTGATGTGTGTTCCCGCAGCCGTCCATCCGGTTTGTCATCGCCGTTGTTTTGCTTCGGCCGGGCAAAAGGCAACCGTTGGAATCTTCTCCAAAAGACTTTCGGGATCCAGACAATTGCAAATCATACTTTCAATATTCTGCTGATCAGCACATTCCGGCTGACCCATTTAGTTGGCATGATTGCATTGATTTGAGTTAATTCCGTAGCCTGGTCTCAAATCCGTTCGAGATGAATCTTTGGGATACCCCCGGCTCAAATTGATACATACATGTCCTGAGCTCAGACCCCAGCTTATCTATTCCACGCCTGCTAAACCCCTTGAGGTGGCCGGAAAGGAGCGGACTAACCATGATCTGCCTGAATCTAGAGGCGAAAAGTACGGATACTGGTCATAGGCACGGATCGGAACTTTCTGTCGACGATAGGGTTCTCCTTTGCCTGTTCCGGTTCCCCACCGCGCCATTTCATGTCAAACGCTCTTGGCTGATAGCAACCCGATATGAGGATGATTCCACAACAACCATTCTTGGGCCCGATGACATGAGTTGAGCATCGCTTTCCCGCGTAGACCGGTCTTTTGCCTGGCTGCGTTCCTCAAAGTGGTCCAAAAGTCGGTCAACCAACAAAACTACATTCGAAACAGGACATCAGAGCTCCATGGTGCAGAAATGGCGACGAGGACTCACCTGTTAGCAGTATGACCGTAAATGCGTATAATATGACCGGAGATGTCATGAAGGAGTACGCCAACGCAAAATGTTGGACGAAGGAAACCATGCCGAGCACTAATACTGCAAGTACCAGGCGAACAGCAACGCCAATCCCGACGTAGAGCTTGCGCTGGTGGCGATGTGCCAACAGCGTAAAAGCCGCAAAAAGAAACATCGCGATTGACGCTACAACGAAAAAGTACACATAGACAAACCCCAGGACTTCCACATACATCATGAGCAACTGACTATTGTTCAGTTGGCTGATGTCTCGGCCCTCTGACGGCGTTATTCCCATGCTGGAGAATAAAGCTGCTGTTACGTTTCCCACCAAATCGTCGATGCGGTCATGGGTCAGAAAGTACACATTACTCGTCACATTGGTTGGGCACAGCGGAAGGGTTGGTATCTCTTCCAATATGTCCGAGATGATAGCCTTCTCCTTCATCGCTCCCCGACCATAGTCGATTTCCATATCAGCAATAGTACTTCGCAGGAGCCTGATGGCAACCTCCGCCTCAGGCCGCGGCTCTTCGCATGCGAACAGAATTGTTTCAGTCAAATACGTCAATTTCAATGTGACATCCAAGGTGAGAGCAAGGATTTGCGATCCTTCAAGAAGTAGGATGAGGGCCACGTGAAACGGAAAATGCAGCTGAGCCCATGCTTGTTGAGAAATTTTGCCAAGTGGGCCTCTTGGGGAGACATCGAAATAGGCTTGCCACAGGAAGTACTAAGTACAGCGGGACGTTAGTAGACGAAAGCAGAAACTGATCGCTAATATGCCCTACCACACTTGTGGTCACTCCCAATATGTGGACAAACGACCACTTGGTCCAGCCACCGGGGCGGACTGTTTTATTGGCAATCCTAGTCACAGCTATGACACCTTCACCGATGATGATCAAAGTAAGGAGGCCCATTCGGACGGCCAAATGAGTGTCTTCGAAGCCGATATCTGGAGTGATGTAAGATACCCCCATCACCATCCACATTTCAAACCCGAACAAGATAAACCAAATGGTCCAAATGTACGAGTGTATCCCATGATCCTCTTGAAAGGCGAAATACATCTGCCACCTAAGTCAGATCAAGAACGTGGTTGTTATAAAATATTCCTAATTGAAGACATTGCTTACCCCGAAATAGACCAAACTCGAAGCGAGTAGTGCTGCGACAATGATGGACAACCCCTTTGCAGCGGGTCTCATCCGTTCATGGATTAAGCAGATATTGACCGTGTACTGCACGGCAAGTAGTACTCGACTTCCGCCAAGTAGAAGACTCAACGACTGAAAGGCCCAAACGTTCTCACCGCGGATCTGAGTCGTGAATCGTGTTCCCGCAGACGCGAAGCCTACCATGGCAGCCAGCTGAGCAGCCTTGCAAATTCGTTCGAAAACCGAGTCTCGAGCGAATCGTATATCAAATAATGTAATTTGAAGCCATGTGAACCAGATGACCCCTAGGAAGCCTATATATGCTCCAAGGCCTGGATTTTAGTGTTAGATACACCCGATCAGCCATAATCTAAACCCATCATACCTTCAACATTGTTGATCTCGTGCGTCGCGGTAAATGAAGACAGGTTTGCAACGAAAAACAGATCGAAGAAGAGCTCTATGGGGGTGGCATCGGAATGGCGGCAAAAACAGGGAGACTCGCCATCCTTTTCGTCGATAGGCGTCGCAATAAGACTTAAGCCTCTGTGTTGTCTTCAGATTGATATAAGCATAACTCCATGTAGATAGTACGTCTGGAGAGTTCACTCACAGCACGTCTTGCTTGATAGGCTTGGGCTTACGCAGCGATTGACGAAAAAAGGAGAAAAACGGTGGCCGGGTCATTATATGGAATGTCGACTGAAAATTCATGGGTATCATAAGTCTGAGCAGGTCTGATCTGAGAAAATACTATACACGAGCTTCAAGACAGAAGCTTGAGTCATTTGCAGATTCAACGGGTTGTTGGCTGGAAAGAGCGAAAGGGTAACGGTTCAGTAGGAAGGAACGTCAAGTCGATGACGGCGACTGGCTCCCAGAGTCGCTTGCCGAGCCAGCTACAGAAGCGCCAAAGCTTTCGAGCCCGCGAGCGTTCTTGATATCGGTAGCAATTGACAGATCCTCCTCGGAACCAGGTGTGAGGCCGGCCTCTTGTTTCAGTCTCTCATAGTTATCACCGGCTTCTTTAATGAGAGCTTGGATTTCAACCTCTCGAACAGCTATATCAGCCTTCTCCTTCCTCAGGTCTTCCATTCGGTTGATCATCTGCGTCCTTGACTTCTCCAAGACGGCCAACATCGTGCGCAATCGATCTAGACTTGTCGAAAGACGAGGTAGAGAGGTTATCTTAGGCGGAGTTCTCGGTCTGTCAATATGGTCTCTGCCTCCGTTCCCAATTGCAGCCCTTGTCTGTGCTGCTTCATAGGCCGCCTTCTCTTCTAGGTCCGAATCATCCTCATCAGAGATGGCTTCAGCATCCTCAATGAGTTCGCGCATCTGTTCACGCTGCTTCATTTTCTGCTCGCGCTCGGCCTTCTTTCCCAATGAGATTCGACCGTCCTCCACATATTCGTCAAATCCCTCGGCAAAATCTTCGTCGTCGCGGATGAGCCTGGTATCGCGCATGTCCTCTTTTTCGGTCTTTGCTAGACCCCATTCCTCGTCGCTCATATTGTCCTCTAGTGAGATGAAATCCTGCTCTTCAGTGCCGTAGGCCTGTTCCTTGGCTAAGCGGGCTCTGCGCGCTTTCTTTTCCCTGATCTCCGCTTCGCTCGGGATGGCCGAAGGCGCAGATACTTTCATTACCTCACCAAACTTCGCAGCGACATCGATCGTTTTATCTTTCTCATCATCCGTAGCTGTCTTGGGCGTCGACGGTGTGGAATCTCGGAGCTCTTTTAGATAATCCTCGCTGTAGCTGGGCCGTTCTTGTTCTGGTATTCTGATCGGAAGCTGATCTCCTAGTCCAGGAGGCTTTCCTGCCCTTTGAAGCGCACTCTTTTCCAGCGCTCGCCTACCTAACCCATGTCGTTTCGGCAGGACGACTTCGCTTTCTTGCCCGCCATCATCTGTCATAGATGTCTCACCAGGTCCGAATGATAACCGAAGTTTCGACTTCTGCTTTGATTTCACGGAATTCGGCCTCTTCACTACAGGCTCGTGGTCTGGCATATGTCAGTCCATGCCTCAGTCCTAGATCGAAAGCCATCTGCAAAGGTGAGTAGATACAGACCTTGTTCGCCGCTGTCATTTTCCTCATCATCCCCGCCGACTTTGCGAGGCTTTCTTCGATTTGTGAACGCGGAGCTCATGTTAAATAGGCCAAGAAGCTTTCAAATCAAAAGAAAGTAAGCTAATGGGAGAAGAGTTGGCGATTCTGGCCTTTGCGTCACAGGAACTGGGGCATCTTTTGGAGCATGCGGGAACATCATTTCTCCGGGAGCTCATCCCGCTGCCAGCTCCAAAGTCCGCAACGAGGCAGAAATTGAGACACCACATCAGGACAGTGATTCAGAACGAGCTAGCCAAGATGCCTCAAGCTCAGCCCGAATTGAAGAAGGTATGTTTTGCTCCACATCTGTTACTCTAGCTTGACAATATCCGGAGCTGACATTCATGGTTCGCTAGTATATGGAAAAGCGGGTGTTCTGCCAATTGAACGGCAACCGCAAAGTCATTGGCATCTTGCGAGGCTACGATGTACGTTAGGACTTACCCACGTTGGCTTGTTGAAGAGATCACGTTTGCGACGGGGAATATGGATTATAGGTGTCTCTGTGACTAATAAGGCGTTTTCATTGCAGGTATTCATGAACATCGTCCTCGACGAGGCTTTCGAGGAGAAGCAGGGAGGAGAGAAAGTCGCTATCGGCATGGTGGTATGTTGCGCAAACTGGAGGCTCCTAGTGAGCGAAGGCTAATGTGGTGTGACTAGGTCATTCGCGGCAACTCGGTCGTTATGCTTGAGGCTCTTGAACGGATATCCGAGAAATAGAGACTGCGCCTCCTTCAGGGCTGGATGATGCGCACGGATTGAATTTACATCGTCATTGTGGGATTGATTTAATGCAATTAGGAGTTCATGGGTTGGTTGCTCATACGAAACGATCGAAAGCATTTTGGATTCTTTACATGTTCGCTCTACGGGAAAATAGAACACCTGATCTCTGCGACGACTGGGCTTGGTTCTTACCGGATGGATTCTACACAGAAGTCGCGCTGAGACTACAGACCTGACTGTTGTCAAGATATCGTCATTCATGAGGCACTGAGAATAATGTGGAGGAAATCGCATCACACAAAGAACCCGATGGACCCCAATGCAAGTGAGCACGCAGCTCCGTTGTAGAAGACAATAAAAGTCAACATGTATAAATCGTTTGAAACAGATCTTCCAGCCATGCGCCGTGACGCTTGTTCGACCATTCCCCTCCAGATTTCGAATAAATGCGATGTAATAAAGTACAAAGGTGAAGAGGTTTCGATAGAATACCACAGCGGGTAAGCAACTTATTTCGGCTTCTGGCCGAATTTGAGTTTCAGCTTGAGCCCGCCGCCGCCACCACTTGGTGTCGACGGCGTCGACGGAGCAGCCGGCGTCTTCGGTGGTTGAGGTGCCGGTGAAGCGGAGAGGTTTGGAATATGCAACTTCGGAATGGGTTGCGGGGTTGGATGAGGAGTAGCTGAGGGGGTGCTTGAACCCAGCTTCGATTGCTTGAATGTGATACGGGGCCCAGGTGGAGGCATCCCGTTCTCTTCGCGTTTGCGCTTCCCGCTTGTGGAGGGATCTTTTGAGGGTGCGAGGGTAGTTCGGATTCGGCTGGACCGAGAGAAATGCATGCGGCCCTGAGACTATTAGTATCAAGAATAAAATCGAAGATCGAAACGGGATTACCTTGCCAAGATGCTTGACTTGCCAATACCGCGGGTACTTCAACTTTACCATCACCGACGTGACCGAGTCATACAGGACTTTGCACAGATCAGCGAATACGGAAAGTTCGAGAATTCCAATGCCGGGAGAGTTGCATGCTGCCCAGAGACATTCTTTGAAATTCTGATCTCCAGATATTTCCCCTTTGAGCGCCTCAATGGCTCCAGTGACGGTTTGCTTCCTCGCGAGATCCGCCTGACGAACCTTGGTTGAAGATTCTTGCTCGATTATCAAGCTGTCGACATTAGCGGAGGGCTCATTTTCCGGTTCACGACCAAAGGCAACTGGCGCCAAGGCCTTGCCGAATAGATCATGAAGCCGTCGCCTGAGCCAAAGGGAAGAGTCGCTCGACATGGTGAACATGAACCATTTCACAAGCTCAGGACTTTTGAATATATCGAGTTCGACGAGACATTCAAAGGCATCTGCGCGCAGAAGATCGTATGTTCCGGCCCGGGTGTATGGTAGAAATTGCATTATGTCCACGTCCAATATCTTGGCACGCATGAGTTGCATTTGACAACGCAGTGCTGCACGAGAGTAGACGTTTTGAAACGAACTAGACCATTCGTCCATTCTCCTATACCGATCAAATTCCGCAATAGCGTCCTTTTCCAACTGCTCTTCAGCTTGGGTCTCAAGCATGCGTTCCATGTCGAAATCATCGATGTCGACATCGCGGGATTCAACTTTGCCAAGCATGGCATGGCATAGCGACTGCATCAAAGTGGCGACGTAGAAGTTATCGGAATACTATACAAAGTGTAAGCGGAGATCGTATGCGTTTTGTAGAAAGACTTGCTCACCTCGTTGTTAGAGTTGTCATTGAATTTCAGCTTATCATATAAGAAGCGCTTGACTCTCAACGGTGTCTTCCCGTCATTATCGCGCACCTTAGATATAGCTTCTGGAATCGCAAGCTGAAGCACGTACGCCGCCCGGTCGGAAAAATCATTCGAGCGAGTCATGGGTGATCCAGGGAGGCAGAACAGCTCTTGGAAAGCCCTTTCAAGGTGAAAGAGCCCTAACCAGTTGATTTCTTCCTTTGCATGTTTTACTAGAGCTCTCGCTGCGGCTTCACGGATACCATAAAAGTATCTCCGATCCATCAATGTCCGAACAAAGATGGTTGAGATAAGGGGGTGCTCTCGCTGAGCTGCCATGTATTGCAGAGACTACCACTGTCAGTATAAGAAAAGAAACAGGGCAAGTCATGTGCTCACCTCCAATTGTGCGACGACATCGCGATCTTGTTGAAGTTGCGAGAGGTACATATAACCCGGCATCACAAGCGACAGCTTGCATATCCATTCGAAGTCTGCGTCCATGCGGATCCACTCGTATGACTCCTGACCCATACGATCCTCGTCCTCTTTACTCCAGTCTGCAAGTTTCCACTCCTGCATTTCCTCTTCAGTCTGGAGCACGTCACCAAGGCAATACAGTAACACATCCTCTTGTGTTTCCGCATTTGGGTCCCCACCGGATACCGCGGCTGCACGCTCTTTTTGCCTTTTATTCCGCTTGAGCCTCTTGTACTTGGTATTGTAAGGGATGTCGAACTTGGTGACACCTTCTTTGATCTCAACGATATGCTCATAAGGAGTACCGTCAGCTTCATGAATCCTTATCGTCATAGAACCCGAGAACACTGGTTGAATGTTTCCGGCATAGACTCCTCGGATTTCCTCTTTGACATCGCGCATGAATGTGTTTTTGTCGAGATCACGCGTACTTGGCTGATCAGCTTGAACTTGCTTGATCATCATCTCCACCACCAGTTTCTTTTTGTTGAATCTTTGCGTGGCTTGAAATCGAGGACATCCAGCACCATAGACCCATTGTTGGAAGAAGGTATCCAACTTCGCGTGGCCAAGTCGTTCGCATATCTTTTGGAATTGGGAAGATGTGA